ATGTTAATGCAGTAAAACTTTTCCTTTATTTTTTACTGCTATAATTATTTATGGTTGCTTGTATTAGTGGGTAAAGTTCTGCAGTAATTATGTTTACTTAGTGCAGTAGATAATATCTTGTTAGGTTTCTGATTTTAGGCAAATCTACACACTTAATGATGATGGGAACATGTGTTTTACTGACAGCATTTATGGGCTCTATGTATGGCTGTCATTTTTCATGTATTTGCCTTATATATGAATGAAAAAAAAACAGAATAGTATGGTTCTTCAGCAAATACGAAATTGTTCTGTTCCCTAACCTTTCCTCTTCTCTGTTTCATGGTTTGTATGGTTTTTTATGTTTTATGCTTCCGCTGCCCATTGCTTGTCTTAACAAGCAACAACGCCAGAGTTCTCCACAAAGCTGAGTTATGGTCTTCTAGAAAATGAATCATATGACACTATAACTTATATTTATATTTTTTAATAACACATTAAAATATATTATATATATAATATAAGTAAAATAATTTTTAATAATAAATATTATTTTACTATAAAATATACGCCACATGATAATTTTTTTTATAATAATTATTGAAATGGGTCTTGTTAACCCATGTATTATGAGTTGGATAAGAAAATATAATAAAAAAAAACTACGCTAAAGTTATAAAAAAAAATGTACAAATATTTTTTAATAAAAAATATTTTTTTCCTTTTTAACCGATACCTTAATGATACTGTTTAGTACTAGTATTTTCCTATTGAAATTACCGCATTGAAAGAGTCATAGGCATATAGCATACAAGCTTTTCGTGGAACCCTCATATTAATTAATGCCAAGCGAAAAGTAAATTTCCCAGAGAATACGACGTCAATCATGTAAATTGCTGTCATAACAAAGTTCATATGGACGTACGTAGTCAATGTCAACCTCTTAATACACGGCAACTGTTGTTTCTTCCATTCTTTCCTCACTTTTCACATCCAATTCCTGTAACTATATATAAAACCCCTAAACTCTTCCTAACCATTCATCCCAAACAATCTTCCTCTCACGTACGTACAAACACAATACTTACGTACAATATATTAACAGTTGTGTGCATATACATACAAAAAATATTCATAGATATGGAGGCAAAACCACACGCACCCACTTTAGAGATCACGGTTATATCGGGAGAAAACATAAGAATGGATCGAAGTCAAGTGGCGGAGAAGGTGTATGTTGTTGTTCGTGCTGAGTCTCTCAATTGTTGCACCACCAAAATGGTGAATGAAGATGCAGGTTTGCTAGCATGGAATGAAAAATTCTTGTTAGGCATTCCTTCACGTGCAAGGTCGATCACGTTTGAGGTGCAATGCAAAAAGTATAAAGATGTTCGCCCTATTGGAGTAGCAAGGATAGCACTTTCGGATTTTCTTAGTGCCAATAAAATTGTGTCGGAAAGTGTTCCCCAAATGTTGTGTCACGGTTTGACGAATTGGGAAGGTCAGCGAAATGGGGTTATTCATTTCTCAGTGAAAGAGGTGACACTGGGGCAACATTTTGTTTCAGAAGCAAAAGACATGACAACTGCTACGATGAGTTCTAAAGAAATTGAGCATGAGGTTATGGGGATTCAGGCGGACCCTAAGAAATCAAGTCATGTTGCATCTCATTGGTATTCCAGTTTGTTGGAGGTACCAAAGCGTTATTTGAAGGGTCATCTTTCTCATTTAAACTTCCAAATGTGCTAAATAAGTTGATAGGGCTTGTTTAAATTTCATCAAATGTCTTAGGTTTGTGTCCTGACAGTATGGTTATATTTTAAGGAGAAAACTTTATTTACAGCGATTTTACCCCACTTAATTTATCATATGTCCAATTAATATGATGTTTATATACATGTGTCTTACACACAATTAAAGAATTGTTTACATTAAGACTTTTTCCTTTTCATAAATACTTTTTCTTTCTAATTTTATCTTTATAGTCTCGTAAGGGTGATAAAAATAAATAACTCTATTTGTTTTTGTTAGTTATAATTTAAGATTGAATATAATTTTTCTTATATTTTATATTGTTTCGTATGAATTTTTTGTGTAAATAAGATAAGTAATTCTTAATTTTATTAAATTTTTTTAAAGATGTTGATAATTGATTTTTGTTTTATACGTGATCATCCTTTATTCTAATCTAAACTTTTATTTACCATAAAAAAAAAAGTTTTAAGATTCATGTCACTCTAGTACATTTTTTGTTACATGTTTACCATGTTAAAAAATCATTTAACTATTTAACGACTACATAATCATGAAAGTGTTTTCTAACAAGAGAAATTATTACCTAATTTAGGACTATATAGTCTTTGCTAGTCTCAACACAACCATGTAAATATATTCTTTAATTTACACCAAAGAAAATTAATACATGTGTCATGTAGAAATAAGTCAAGAGCATATAATTTCATAATATAATAATTTCTCCAATAAACAAAAATTGATAACTAATTACATTGTGAGAAGGTTACAAGAACAGGAAAACAAAAAAAATGACACATTTTTCTGAATAAAAAAATTTAAGTCATGAAATTGAAAAATATATTTAACCGTGCTTTTGTTTTAGTTACTTTTTAATATAAAAAAAATCCATTAAAAAAGTATATTTAACAAATTTATAGAAAGTAGTTAAGTTTTTTCCTAATAAAATATATTCCTAAAAAATTACTCAACTGTACAATAAGTTTCTAAAAAAATGTTATGATATAAAATGTAAAGTTAACAACACGCAAAAACCTATTTGACATCTAAAAAGAGACAGGGATAAAAGAGAGAACGCCACAGATCAATATGAACACGACGTCATAGGAATAGAAAGATATAGACAAAATGATGAGCTTTAATAAGATGTTTTAGAAAGTTGAATTGGGTATGTAAAACTCATTACTCTTTAATTTACATGTTTATTTTGTACTGCTCTTCTTTGTTATATTTTATACAAACAAATTATGTTAGTTTGCTTACTCCGGCCGTAAAGGGACGATTACCAATTAATAAAAACACTCTTGATGTTGAAATTCTGTGCATAAACAATTGAGTGTCAAAGAACAAATGGTTGAAGGCCAACTTTACGGTTTTTCTAATGTTGCGAGAGTTCACATGAACAAACGTGTCTTCAACTTACGTACGTTTGCACGGATGTTACCATTTGTTGTGTTGGATCAAATGGATTTGGAAAACCTTTAGAAACTAATAACGTTCATGCCAACGCACCATTTCTTTCACGCAACCTCATAACAAAGTGAGCAACGTGTATATAAACACACTCTAACACTTTAGTAGGATCCGGCCTACAAACCAAATCATGTATATCATAATTATTTGTAACAATATGTTATATTTAAAAGCCAACGAATTGATTTTACATAGAAAAAAGAGTTTTGTGCTTGTATTTCTAAGAGTTATTAGAGCTCAAAATTGGATACAATGATAATAAGAACGAAATGTTTGGGAAGGAGATGCACGTATATTATAATTTTCAAGTGAAAATTAAGAAGGACACAAAACCTACTAAAACAGACGCGGAATTGTGGCGGACAATTAAGTGAATGTCTGGATTCACGTAACCGATCCACGTTTTAACCGATTTGACGCGGAAGTAAAAATTTATAGCGTCTTATTTTCGCGTTGTTTACGCGATTTAAGCCCGGGAAACGTGAAACTAAACACACCGTAAATGTGAAGCAAGTTTAAGTCGACGTGTTGTTGTTAATGACGTACGCAGGGGTCCTGGACCTGGTTAGTTACTAGGAGGTTACATGATTTCCATCTAAAACTTCGTTGCAAATAATCTGTAGTTTTCCTCTCATTTTTTTTTATATTTTAATTAGCTTCACAACATATAAGTTGACTACGTATGAACAGGTCTTTTTTCTTCCCAAGTTAAACTAAAAAGTCTCGTACACGGTATAAAAAAATACTGTTACCTTCAACAGAAGTTCCTCTTATTAAGGGTTTAGTTTATTATATATATAAAAGATAAATGAAACAACTTTACAATGGAAACTAATATACTAATTGGTTAAATTATGTTTTTAGTTTTTTTTCTTAATTATTTTTAGATATATTTTAGTCATTATTAATTAAAATATTTATTTTAGTAATTTAGTTATTTTTATTTGAATCAATTTAATCATTTTAAAAAATAATGATCATTTTTAATTTTATAATATGATTTTAAATTATTTTTTGACTAATTCAATATGTAAAACTTATAACATTAGATTCATTTAAATTAAAAAACTATAAAATGTTATTTTAAAAAAGTAGATTAAGAGTTTAATTTAACCTGACGAAATTATTTTTCACTTATATGTATAATTATTTATGACTTCATTATTAATTAATTTGAAATCTTCAATACTAATTAGTTTTTAAATAAACTCCTTAATAAGAGGTAAAAATAAAATACTAAATTGGTGAACTGCTACAGGACCATTATACTTGACGAGTGGAATCGTTGGTAATTATTAACCATCCGCTTTTATAATTATTAACAAAGGGTATATATATTTTAAAATGTACGTGTTGAAGTTCAAGTGTGAAGTGACTATTAGATCGATTAGAGTTGAACATATTGAGTAATATATAAGTGAGAAAAATCTACCTATCTAATATCTTAAGATTTTGAATTATGTTATGGTGACAATGGTTCGACCAAGTGATTCATAATCGGTTTAAATGAATATTAGCTAATAAATTTGATGATAGATTTAAGAGTGAGTTCTCAGACAATGAAATTGATCGGAGATCCAAGAGTAAGCCCTTATGTCAAAAGTCTTCTTAGAGTATGGAAGACGTGTTCTGTTAAAGTATGCTAATAATTACGTAAGGAAGCCACTATTAAATACTCATTAATGAAAAGGACTTTCGTTTGAAGGAAGTGTGACTATGTGGAAAAAACTCACACTTAAAAGGAGGTATTTGGAAAATTAAAATGTAAAATAAATCTCACATTAATTAGAGTTCAACATATTAAATAATATATAAATAAAAAGATTCATCAACATACACTACACCAAAGTTGAGTTTTTGTGGCAATTAATTTATCTTTTAGGGGCCATATAAATGGTCATTATTATTTTTACCAGCAATTATATAATGGTTGGTGTATCCAAAGTCGCTAATTCTATTACCGGCAATTATATTAAATGCTGGTAAAAATTCACTTAATTGTTGGGAAAACTTAAATTTTTTAGTGACAATTCTAGTGGCTATTTTAAAGGTTATAAAAATTATTTTATAAAAGTGTTTCCTTCCCACTCCTTTAGCGGATTTTATTTATTGCCAATGAAACCTTAAATCATTTTCTTTTCTAGATTGGCATGCAGGAGGCAGTTGACAAAGTGAGCCATATCAAATTCACATACATGTACTTCACAATTATATTCAATCATAGGCAAGACAATATATAGCTGATGGTAAACTTCAAGTTGTGACATTATCTGTATTACAGCTATCGATCATTCATTCAAAACCAATCAGCTGATATAACCAAAATACTATTATTCACCATAAGTACAGCAGTATAGCAAGGGACTGAAAAAAAAAAAAAAGGAGGAAAAGAGAAACACAAATGCATTTTCCAACTTCTACAATATTTAAGAGCCTCATCATTATAAGAAAGGTTTATCCAATGAAGTAATCCTCCAACATTTGCCTATCAAACAAAGTCTTTGCCGCTAGTTTTCTAGCATCTTCATCATTATTTTTCCTAAGAAGCTTTAGCAAGGAAGTGATGTCACCATCTTTAGTCATACTCTTTTGATTTGTCTCTGCTTATTAAAAAAGACAGAACTCATTATTAAATATAACAATAATCATGTATACATTTATCAACTTTTCATTTACAAAAACAACTTAAGATATTGTCTTTTAATGAGTAATACCTATTGGCTGAATTCCATCATCAACACAATCTATATTTTTCTTCTTTTCACAGGTTCTAGGGTCCACATTCTTAAAAATTTACACAAACATATAGTGTTAATAACATAACCTTAAATATAAAATTTTCAAAGGAGAATAAAGTGAAAGAACCTTGAAAAGCTTTCCAAATCTTGCACACTTTGGAATGGTCATCATATTAATAAATATATCATAACGTATCCACATCATAATAATATTAACTGTTTTATGTCTGAACAAATTATGTACATGCAGATTTAGGTTCTTGATTTGAACATTATTTAATTTCAGAGTGCTTAATGTATTGTATTGTCAACCAGTGTTGGACATCATTGTTGCCATATCCTGCATGGATTAGCTTGTTGTTAACATGCGTTAAAGACTTGTATCATGTATCCTAACTGTTGCATTAGTTTTACAGTAGGAATAGTATATCTTTTAGGATTTAGGAGAATGGGAAGGGAAAATCAGTTAGTGGCACTGCGGCAGTTAGAGGGGATGACTTTGATAAATAAGGAGAAAGGAGGGAGAAGCCATTCAAGAAATAGATAGTTTGTAAGAGAAGGGAAACCCTTGGAGGAGGTTTCTTTCTCCTATTCTCAGTTGATCACTAGAATCGTTCTTTGTTTTTATCAAATTTCTATTTCTCTTTTAAGGTTCTTATGAATATAATAACTAATAAGTGATTTATCATTACAATTGAATTTTAACAATTCTTTTTTCAACTTTCTTTCAAACTTAATCATTTGACTATTGAGACTGATTGTAGGTCAATTATAACTCTGGAAAGCTTCAAAATGAGAAAATTTTAATTATTAATAATTTTTGTCTACTGGAATGCCTATAAAACCAATATATGCATAATGATATCGGTGATATAGACATATTAAAAAAAATTATACAAATAATCAACACCAGCTAATCGGTTTGTATTGGGTTAGTTTGTTAATTTAGGACGAGTTAGGTTTTGAACATCCCTACTACCATCTTCCTTGAAAAGAGATTTCAGGGTAGCTGATATTTGAAGTTTTGAGTGCTCAAGTCAAGTGTTTACCATTTGTTTCTGCTCACTCAGCTTTCTATTCATCTTACTTCATATATTTTGTAAACTAGAGGTCTTGAAATTTTTGTCCGTATAGGTATGAATTATTAAGATTATGTTTTGGTCATTGCAGGTTCTAAATTGCCACGAGTCTGCCATCTACATCCTAGCACCATTGAGATATGCCACCGTCTATGGATGTTCAGATGCAACTATAATTCTTGGAGCAGTTGGCAAGGTAATAACTAGTAGTTTCTGGCCTGTTTTCAAAAGGAACATAATAATTCTATGCATGTAGTAGGAACAACCGTGGAATGTGTTTTTCTACCTGAACATGGGATTGGGAAACAATGGTATCTTGTCACTTAAAATTGTATGGTGACTTTGGTGACTCTATAGATGATACCTTTATTTAATTCCTTTGTCTCTGTATATTAAGACTTAATCAAGAACGTGTAAAAGAATCAACACATGATGACATGTCAAACCAATAATATTTGTATACATAGGGATGAATTTAATAAATTTTATACGAATCAGCAGGAACAAACAAATGAGCAAGTATGGTGTGAAGTAATCTGTAAAAGATGAATGGGTAGGTTAAGAGGTACCAAGGCTACAAGGAAAAGGTATTAAATGTTGATTAAGGCAATGGCATCTATTCTTTGGCCGCCACTGCTACGTAGTGCGATTACTATCCGTACGTCACTCCTCCTAATTTATTCTCTACAGAATTTATCCCCTGGAAGCTGGAAATGCAGAGCCAAACCAACAATGAACAAAGGTAGAAAGAAAAATGAAGGTTTCCAATTTCGTGATATCTAATATGTCGGGAAAATAAAAATATTGAAGAACTAGAATTAGAAAAATTAGAAAAATCAGTACCATAGCTACTTCGAAGTGAATGATCTAGCATAACTAGAAATAAAGTGAATGATCTAACCAAAACTAGGAATAGATTATAGAAACCCTAACCTGAAAGCAGCGAACATTAAATCTTCAAAATGCATGCATTCGGAAGCAGATCAAATGGAGCTATTAATATGAGAAAAGTTGATGACAAGAGAAATTGAAATTCATCCATCAATTTGAGAAAAGAAGTTAAGACTGTCATTTACCTTTGGCTGTGGCAAGAAGAGAAGTTACGGATGCGGAACCATGAGAAGAGTGAGAATATGAAACAAGACATTTTAAAATGAAAAGTACAAAAGGTTAAAATTTAAGTAAATAAATAGATTAACTTTTAAAAAAATATAAAAATAAAGTCATAAATTATTACTGGCAAATATCAAATTGCCTTTACTTGACGTTTTACCAACCTTTACTTATTAGCCATAATTACTTCTAATTTATTAATAAAATACCGGCAATTAATTTATTGTCATCTATTAATTGTCGATAAAAATTAGTTTTGTAGTAGTGATAATATCTTAAGATTTTGAGTATATTATATTATCAAATTCAATTATATGATTTATTTATTATTTATTGATAGATTGCTCTCCAAGTGCTTTATTCCTGGAGCTACAAAAATAGAATCATCCTTATATTAGGATTTGCGTAGCTTGTACATACTCACAACCCATTAAATAAATGTTCCAGGATGTTCATCTCTCCCAACCGTATGAAGGGGAATAACTTTACTTTATTGAATTAGAATTATACAGCGTTACGTAATGTTTTGTATGAGGGTTAGGGTACCCCTTTACACCTACTTAATATATTCTCTTTTTTGGCTGAAAAAATATAACCGTCTGTTTTCATATCACTAGCTAGCATATATACTATACCCTTTAACATGCTCGACAGAAGGCCCCGGCCACCACATATATTCTGAACTTTTATAAACTCACATTCGACGATTCAAAATACGCAATAATTTGTACACGTTGGTTCATCATAATAAAAGTAGATTGTTTCATCATGCTAAAGGATTTCGTGAAATTCGTGCATGAAGGTTTATATCAAATCATATTATATATATTCTTGATAGGTAGCATGGCATGCTAGAACTATAATTTTTTAAGGATCCAATAAGCCCATACGATTTTTTTGTTTATTAAAGAGAAGTATATTTTATATTCATTAAAATTATAATAATAATACCATATATATACTTATAGTAGCTCTAACGTTTGTTTTTAGACTTACATGATGAATATAGTACAAAAAACTTTTAAAAAAGTGAAATTTGCATGTTTTGGACTTGTATGTGCTTTATTCCATATGGAGAGCTTGGATGCTGAAATCAGATCCGCTCCTCTTTAGAATTTGTGGGTTCATCACATAAAATATAATAATAAAATATGCTATTAAAATATATTATTATTATGAATAAAAAAGTTCCTTCATTTTGAATTTTTTTCACTGTACGTATGTGTTCGATCCGAATTTCACAAGAAAAATCGCTGAAATTGTAAATTTGACCGTTGCATTTTTTTTAATATATTTTTGAACCATTGCAACTACTATTATTGTGTTAAATTTCTTACCTTCTTTTATCTAATAGATCGTTACAATTCGCATTTTGATAAAGAGCTTAAATAAAAATTTGTTGACATAACGTAAGTGCATTTAAAAACTAATTGATCAACGGGTGGAAAAAAAAGGTATTAGTTACAACCAACATGTTCATAAAAGAACTCATTTTGAGAAATTGTGAAGAATGTCATTTTTCTTATTTAATGATAATTTCTACACAAGTCCAATATATAGCAATAATGAATTTCGACGAAAGTTCAAAATGCCAAGGCATGTATTCTTACACATTGTCAAAGGAGTTAGCAATAATGATGAATATTTCCAATTGTAAAATGATGCAACTAGAAGAACAAGTCTTTCACCATTTGTAAAAATGCATTGTTACAATTCAGACATTTATTAAAAGAATAAATATCTATTAAAAGAATAAGGGGTTTTGTATTGTGTGATTGCAACATATGTGGATGAATAACGGGGCAAAAAAGATATTTATTAAAAGGATATTTTTTATATAAAAATTTAAAATGGACATTGTTCTTCAATCTAGAACGTTAACTTATTTTATAATAAATTTAAAGGTATGAAATCATGGCTCACAGATGAACCATTTCAACAAATCATAAAATTCACATAGTTCATTAGTGAATCACATGATTTAATGGTTCACTGTAATATTCGCCTAAATTATTTAAGGTAAAAACTATGATGTGACATCATAAAAAAGTGGAAAATTCTAACATGAAGTACTAAGAAATATGGTAAATGGATGAAGTAGTAATTTTCACCATTGGATATATTATTTAAAAATTAAATGGCTGAGATTTGTGATCGATAACTTAAGATTTTAATTAAATAATTTGATATTTTTATTTGAAGTAATATAATTAATCTATAATTAATGTATCATTAAATGATATTAATTAATATTTCAAGGATTTATCAAAAGGTTTTGATTTTCTTCCATTTTGGTTTTCTTCCAGACCCTAACTCCCAAACCCTCCGACCTGCAATGGTGGGACTTCTAACTCCAACAGGATGAGTGATACGCAAAGCTTCTATGGCCTGGGAAAAGGGAAAGGAGGGAGATAGTGAGCGAGCCAAAGATAGAGAGTAATAAAAGGGAGAAGAGAAAAAAGGGTGTATGGAAGCGAATGCGCAATAGTGGAATGGTAGAGTATGAGGAAAAGGGAAAAGAGAGAGAAGAAAAGAGAAAGAAAAAAAGAAAATGGTCTCAAATACTTGTATACAGTGGAACACCGTCTCGCCAAAAAGAAAGGGAAAGAGATAAATGTATGAAGATGGTAGTTGTGGTGCAAGCAACACTACCACTTCTAGGGTTGATTGTGAGAGACCTAAAGAATATGTGGATGAGAAGCATTGACGCAAACCATAGATCGTTGTTGTAGTGTTTCATGAATGCTTCAACGACTATTTTTTTTTCCTCAATTTTTCTTTATTTGCATTGTTATGTATGATTGAGGCATTAGTTATGAGTTTGGAATCTTATAGATTTTGTATTTATTGTGATTTTTAATTCTCAATTGTGCTGAATATCATGAGTTTGCAATGTTGAATTTGGGTTAATAGATGTTTTCTGGATTGAACTATATAAAAACAATCATCCTGATAATTTTTATTTTTTTCTTCCAGTTTTAAATGGTAATAACAAGTCAATTTAATGGTATATAGATAAGACATGTAATAAAGTACTTCATGCTAGAACCATTCTAAAAAAGTGTAAAATATTTTTAAAAATATAGAAGACAACCTTTAGTAGAAGATGCTCTTGCTTTAGTTATGATAACTAACGATTGCTACAGTGAACAAACAATTCATATGGTTTAGCTGCCACCATGAACAGTGTTATTGTGCTTAAATATTTTTTTAATTATTTTTTATTGTAAAAATACATTTAAGCGCTGTGTTAAATATTTTTCAACGATCCCTCCTTTTCCCCCAATGTCCCTTTCTTGTTCAAGCCCATATTGTCTCCTTTTCATTGGTTGCTTCCTTTTAGTTCGTCGCTCACGTAGTTGTCATCCAAATCCAACCTGGTTTTCATCTTTGATTCCCTCAACTTTGAAAAAAAAAAAAAATTGATTTCTCGTAACCTACAAATTTGGATTTGCATTCTTTAATCTCATAGTAACTCACAAATCAAAAACACAATTGCCAAAAGCAGTCTACCATATGAAATTGAAGATGTAACAACAAAGTTGTGTCTTCATCGTCGAAAAATCAATTTGATCTGTGTGGAGAGACGGTGACGACTGCCTCCATCCTAGTGATGAACTCATATATCCTCGAGAAGGAGGTGGCAATGACCTTAGAAGGTGATAAATGGAATTAAAAGGTTGATGGTGGAATTTTTGTAAAAAAGGAGCTGTTATCACCGATAATTTCATATTCAAATCCATACTCCCATTCTCCACACATAAGGCTCCTTATTCTTCTCTCTCAAATATAATGTTCACTGTGGACTTGAGTCGGTGGTGGTGTGAGGTGGTGTTTTGTATTGTGTGATGGCAACAAATGTGGGTGAATAAGAGAGTAAAAAAAATATTTATTAAAACATTTATTTTTATCTAAAAATTTAATAATTTTCAATTAAGAATATGCTAACATTTATATAAAAATGTAATATGAATATCAATAAAATTTATTTTTTTGTATCTTAAAATATTTTTAGAAGTGTCAAATGTTGGTACAGTATTAAAGACACTTATACATATCACTTAAGATAATTATTTTTTGTCAACAACTCAACATATAAATAATTAACGAGTGTTAAATAATAATACATTAATGGTGTAAAGTGTTTGTATATATTATCATTCAACAACAGACAATGATTTATTCTAACTTTGATAATATACTTTACAAATTATACCAAACATGATTTCTAAATTACCGATAGTTTTTATAAAATTTACTCCAGGGCACGTTTGTTTAATTTAGAGATTAAAAATTCATTTACAAGAATGTCCTGATGGAAAGGTAGAATTCACATGTTTATTTATTTATTTATTTTTATCAATTTTGAAAAAGAAAACTTTTTTGATATTGTTTGTTTTCAAGAAAGTAATTATATCATAATTTAAACCATTTTTCTATTATATTGGTAAGAGATGAAGAGTTATTTATTTTCATAGAAATATTACAAGTTTTTATTTAAATTAATTATAACTTTTATTTTAATTTTGTTTTTTTTATTTTAATTATTTTAAATTATTCTTAGAAATGGTTATTTCTTATCGATCATATTTTTAAATATTTATAGAAATGACATTCTTAGATATAATAATGGTAGGAATATGATTCTGGAAAATACAATACTATTCACGAGACAGTGATTTTCTATAATGGTACATATTGATTAAATTCTAATAATTAAAGTGATAATATGTAACTATTTTTTTTATATAATATCAATATATTTTTAGTAATTTGTCTTCATATTCTATTGTATTCTCTCTATCATAACCACTAGATTGAGAAGAAGGAGTTAAAATAGAAGTATAAGCACTTAAGTTTGATTCCCATTATTATGATTATAATTGTTTTTTATAGATAAAAAAAAATTCTTTACTACTCTTAAATATAAAACTCTTTTAATTAATTCTCACACATTTGAAAAAGTTAGTTAAACATTAAATTTGTCAACGATTTTTTTTTATTTTTTAACATTAGCCTTAAAATTATTAAGATTCGTCATCTTCCTTTTTTCTACTTAATTATTTTCAATTTAATTAATTTAAAAAAATAATAAAATACTAATTCTTCAAAATACTAAAATTTATTTAAGAGTTTGAATTTCTTAATACTAATTGGTTCTCATGAATGAGCATCTAGTATTTAATAATCACCCAAGGAAAAAACCATAAAAAAATTTTAAAAAAATAATAATAATCCTCCACGTTATTCCGTAGCACCTATATATACCCCTGCTCTCCTCTCACAAGTCACAACAAATACAAACACAGCTTGACATTCACACTTATACTTATGGGGGAAAGCTCGGGTACATCGCTAGAGATCACAGTAATATCTTGCGAAAACCTTCGAGTGACGGAGGACCCCTACGTCGTCGTTCGTGCCGAGTCCTTAAACTGCTTCACCACCAAGATGGCGAAAGATAGTGGGAGCAACAACTCCAGTTTGTTCTCGTGGAATGAGAAGGCAATGCTGAAGCTGCCGGTGCATGCAAGGTCCATCACCTTCGAGGTTCAATGCAACAGGTTCAAGGCTGTGAGACCCGTTGGGGTCGCCAGAGTTGCAGTTTCCGATTTCCTCGCCGGTGGCCCGCCGGGAAATTCCGTGCACGTGTCCAGTTGCCGGTTGAGGGACTGGGAAGGGAAAGACAATGGGGTCATTCGTTTCGCGGTGAGGGTAGTCCCGCCGTAGGTTAAGGGAACAGCATAAAGTTTATGGAATTCTCGTCTTCTTAGTCAAATACCATCACCATACAAGTTTAAAATATTAATTTCTAAAAGTTTTTCTTTATTTAAAAATAAAAAAAATACTTTACAATAAAAACAACTCTAAAATCGATTGTAAACTTGTATTGAAGTAAGTTCTATATTTGTAAACATGAGTGAAGTTTTTTATAAAGTGGATTGTGAAGTTCTTGAGTGAAGTTTTTTATAAAGTGGATTGTGTGCTTGGGATAATTTCTTGAATAAATAAGAAATATTAAATGGTAGCTACATCTGTTCTGTATTTAGGATAATGTTGATTTAAGATCCAAAGCAGTTTTGAAAGAAGTGCTTGAGATCTCAACTATATATATATATATAAATGCATTTTGTACACTTATAGGTCATCGATCTAATTATCTAGTTAAATTAATTAGTTCATAAAATATGATAAGTGTTATAAAAGAAAAAAAATAGAGAGGATAAAAAGACAATGTAATATGGACAAAAAAATTTAATTAATGTATTATCTTTGGAAGAGAATTAACATATTTATAAGGATATGTAGTAGTTGAACAATTATATAAAAAGAGAATAATACATAACGAAAATATAAATGATAATAATTGATACTAAATATTGATATCAACTAATTGAGCCATTAATTATTATTCATAACACTTCTTAAAATGTGCCTCATTAAAACTTTACTAGGGAAAATGCTATGGGATAAAAACTTAGTGAAAAAAAAGAGTACATCATTCATAAATATTTATTTCTCCCCTCATGTATATATTCTTTAAGACGACAAAGTCCAATATTACGTATTAACTGTTCAAAAACTTTTCTTAAAAGTGACTTTGTAAGTAGATTATTTTTTAGGTTGTCACTTGAGCGAACTTGTTAAACATTTATATCATCTTCCCTTTGAAGATCATGAGTAAAAATAAATCGGTAAAATATGTTTTGTTCTATCTCTCTTTATCTACCCATCTTTCAACTATGCAATACATATAACATTATCTTCATATATAATTGTTGACGTCATTTTTTTAGAAGATAAATCACAAGTTTTCCGAACAAATTAACAGTAACAAATTCAAATTTTGTAATATTTGACATGTTCAATACTTAAAATATTTGTCTTAAAAATATGACATTCAAGAAAAATTTTCACAACTTTGTCTTACAATTGTAACACCAATAGATGAAAGATTATCGTGCTGATAACATAAAAGAAAGAAAAAATAAAATAATATAAAATAGAGAAAAAAATCTAATGTATTAATGTTGTCTTTGAAATATGACTAATATATTTACTAATAAAATATAAATAACAGAAATATAAATGATAATGATTGATAATAAATATTAATATTTATTAATTAAATCACTAATTATTGTTGATACTTATCAACCGAACATGCGTGGTAGGATGACAACTCATTTGTCATTGGATCATAGCTTAATACAAATAGGCGAGTATTATTTTATTATTTTTAACAAAGCTCTTTGTGACATGATGATGAAAGATGAATCCTGAAGTTTCAGGGATAGGTGTTGGTTAAGTAATGCTTCCGCTTTAGAAAGAAAATGCCTGCTAGGTTTTCTAAGAAGGAGCAATTAGGTCAAAAAGGTAATACTTCTTTGTTGTTACCGGAACATTTAATTTAATATTTGGTAATTTTAATGTATAAAGAAGAGAAAATGTTGAATTATAGTATGATGAGGAACCATTCATGTAATAGAAAATCACAATATAATTTAAAACATCGGATAGAAATAAGAAAACAAGAGGGAAAAAAAAGACGTAAAATAATATGATAAAAACAAATTATAAAAAAAGTAGCACAACATAGCATAATTTTTATTCTATTGCATCCAAAAGATCATATTCACAAACCACGATCATGATGTGTTTAAAGGTTATATAAGATTCGATGTCCTTTCATCTTTCTGACGTTAGAAATGCACCATATGTTACTAGACAACTATAAGACGAGAATGAGTATCCAAAAGCGCGTAATAGCTGAGTCATCTGCTAGAATTTGCATATTTATTTTTAGAGAAATCCTATAGTACCCATCTTATTTGAGAGGGTACCGGTACAGTTTTTTATATGTTATATTTTTAATAATTTATTTAAATAATATTTATAATATTTTATTTTTTCAATTTTTAAGTTATTTAATTATTTTATTTTTATTTTATATATTCTAATTTATTTGTAATAATATTATTATATA